CTGGGGATTGAACTCAGGCTTTTGCGCTTGCCAGGCAAGTGCTTAATCTACTGAGTTGTCTCCCTGGCCCCAAAAGTTGAGATGGATTTTTTTTTTTTTTTTGCTGGCTCATGATGCCTTAAGGACAGGTCTGGTAAGGCCTGAGGATCTGGGGATTGAACCACAGAATCTTGAGCCTGACTGCTTTGCTTAAGCAGGCACTTTAACAACTGAACTAATGGGCAGGCCTCCACCAAACTACATTGAGAAACTGCAGGACTCTGGAATTCTTTGGAATCCAGTAGGGAATCTTTTTAGGCCTTTAAAGGCAGGTTAAGGATTATAGTTTAGAGGAGAGGTAGACAGGGGATTATAACACAAAAAAGGAACATTTTGAGCACATTTTATACACTAGGCTGTGAGGGCAGCACAGCCTAATCAAAGAAAGGCATCTCTCCCAGGGACCTTAGAATTCCTGCTGGTGATAAGACAGGGGCACAGAATAACTGAAATACAAAGTGAGAGGAACATTAGCAGTGCTGTCAGAGGTCAGGAGAGTGAGTTAGAGAAGAAATGGAGAAAAGGGTACATTTAAGCAGGGCACAAGAACATAATGTGAGGAATGCTGAGTAAAGAGAACAGAAAGTGACTTGGGAGCAGTCAGCTCTACTCCTGGGAGGTTGGGAAGGTTGACACCTAGCAGTTGCCTATGGCCTGCCCTCAGAGGAGGAAAGGCAGCGGTTCTGTGCTGTCATAGCTTGGCAGGTCATTGCCTGCTTCAGCTGGCCACACTGCTCCAAACCTCTCTGCTGTCAGTGTCCTGGCTTATGCATGTCCTACTAGATTATTTTTTTCTAATTGATAAGAGTCACTGTCCCCTCAGGGCTGGGTGTGGTGATGCCGACCTGTAATTCCACCACTCTGTAGTTCCACTGCTTGGGAGGCTAAGGCAAGAGGATCATAGAGAGTTCAAGGCCAACCTGAAATACATGATGAGATTGAGATCCTGTAGAAAGAAAGAGGAGAAAGAAAGAATTGATACTCTTAAGCTTTTCATTTGCTTGTTCTTTTCTTTTCTAATCAGAAACCGAGCAGAGGGCAAAGTGTTGGAGACCGTTGGTGTGTTTGAGGTGCCAAAGCAGAATGGAAAATATGAGACTGGGCAGGTAAGTATTGGGCTAGTTTGGCCTTCCTTTTCAAATCAGCTTTTGAATGGAGTCACATTCAAGTCTGGTTGATTTTTCTCTTGATTCATTTCTTTCTTTCTTTCTTT